GTTCCTTATTATCATTGTAATTTAATTAGCAATAGGTATCTGTAAAATTATCATTTTATACTAGTAGAAATTAAAAGATAATTAAAAAAGGCAACAAAAAAAGTGTATCAATATATGTGATGCACTTTTATGTAACAAAAATATAATTTTTTTGAATATTTCCTTTTGCTTTCAAATAAAATCAATAATATTATTAATTTTTTCACAATGTAATTAAATTCTTCTTTCTTAATTTTAATTTTTACAATTAATATTGAATATTTTTTTTCGGTTTTTAGAAAGGCTTTTTCATTTTATTCCTATAATATTATTTGTTATCATTATATTGTTATCATTATTTTTATTTAATTCTTTTTTATTAAATATTCTTTAATTATGTTTTTATCTAGAGTAAAATCCATGAAAATTGAGATTTATCTTAATAATTTATTGTTAATTCAATTTGTTAAAAAATATTATTTTACATATACTATGCCAATAATAATAACATATAATCATAGAATTTCTCGAGTTTTAATCAAAATATGTATGTTCAAGTTTAACTTAAAATTGATTAATATACGATAATTATGTTCATTCAATTTTTTCACTAAGCAATAATTTAGTTCATTTAGTTCAAAAGATAACTGGTTTGGATTACATAATTTGTGATAACATGGTTTACTTTCCTCATAAATTAAACGTCATCTAAGATAAAGTCCCCTGCTATAACGTCATTGCATGTCACTATAAATTAATTAACGTTCTTGATTAATGGGAAACCAAAAAAGTGGAACATGCATTGCATCAGCGATTGTGCATGGAAAAGTACTTTATTAGCTAAATATTCCATATCACTAAATTTTAAATATATATGTAAGGTAAATATATATGAATTTTAATTATAACGTAAAGTTATAAGATAATAAAATAATAATGAATTATCTTCAATTGAGATGTGACAAGATGTCGAAAACATAAAAGCAATATTTTAGTTAAAATTTTATTAGTCCTTTACATATTTCTAAAGAACGAAGAAATATACAGAGAATGGAATATGAAGAAATATTTTTCTTTTAGGGTTATGAATAATTTACTGATAACGATTTTAATTGAGCTTCATCATTCATGGAATGAAGATTAATTCAATCACAGACGCTTGAATACCAATTTATCGAATATATATCGTCAATGATAACGCCACAAAGTTACGTTGCGTGTATAACAACGTATTTATCAGCGACCATTTACATGCCTATGTAACGGCAAAGCCATGAAAGTCGAACCGGTCGTCTTTTCAGCCTGATTTACTGGTTTAGGTGGTTTGCTTTTTGCGCGCATATTATCAGAACGCATAATTCTTTTCATTTCCATGTTCATATTATGTACAACTTTTCTAATTTAATTTCTCAAAGTGAGCGAAAAAAATTCTATCTAATTATATATTTATATATATTTGCGATACGCTTTTGCATACAGTCTTTAACAGGTTACAATTCCTTATGTATTTAAGTAATTAATTTTAATAATATATAAGAGTGGATAATTCTGCACAATAATTTTTCATTTCTTTTGTTTAATATAAAACTTCACACTAGCGTGGATGTGCGATGTGCGATTTATTGACTGCATTATGATCTGATCTCAAATCACGATGTGCAAGTCTGAATTCGAATCAGGTGGAGGAGAGACTGCTAAAAGCGACGAGAATGTTCTTTT